AGGGTACAAATTTTACAGTTAGTTGAATATGGCATATCGTTGCTACTAAACAGACCTGCGTTTCTCTAACAAAATGAGATTCGACGATGAACCACACGCAACTACACATCTATTTCATAGACGATATACAGGAAACATTTACGAACAAAATACACAAATTTTTATGGAAACTTCCGCAGGACAACACGCAGCTGCTGTAAATCAGCTCAGAAATATCACTGACGAAAGTTTACAAATGGGACATTGATGTATGTACAGCATCTGCCCACTCCGAATTTCTTATGTCTATCAGGGTATCTGCCCCTGTTCCCCTTATCCCTTCCCTTCATCGCTACCATTTATAAACGTCAGATGTTCATCCAAGGTTCTTCCTTTCCAAAAAGCAAAAAATCCAACCAGTGTTCGAAATTCCTCATCATCGAGTTCTTTTTTGCTGCACGGCATAGTACTGTCGGAAATGTTATCGCTCTCCGAGTGAATGCTATGAGGCAGCTGCTGCTGACCAGGAAGAGCATGACACAGACCTGCTGCTGCTGTTATGTAGGAGACAGATGGTGGATAGAGCATACTGGTCGGATTTGTTTGGATAAGAGTGTTCTGTGGGCTGAACTGCTGCGACTGCAAAAGTAAATAAGTAGTGGCGTGCACTCTGTATTGCAGTTACGCAGCACAAAACGCATAAAAACTGAATTATTTTTTAAAATTCATACAATTTTTCAATGATAATGATTTATCAGTTAACGGATACGAAGAGATGTATGTTTTAAATGGGCAAAAGGGAAAAAAGCTATCTCCGAAAGAAGCAATTTATGCATGCAGTTTGTTGTTCAATGCGATAACACATGTACCTGTGTCGCATCAACTGACGGCGGCGTTGGATATATCATATAATCACCGACTGAAGGAGGACCACCAGCACGTGTTAACTGTAATAAAATTATTAGAAACGCTGAAACCAAAAAAAAAAAATTGGCCAACGCACGGGCTGCCCGTGCGAAGATGCGTTTTTTGCAGAGTTCCCC